CATTTGCAGAATCCTGCCTCACAGTTCTTTCTGAGCTTCATTTGATTATTTATTTTGGGGTGCTGGAAATATAAACTAGGCCTTACGCATGCTAGGCAAATGCTTCATCACTGAGCCATATCCCCAGCCCTCACAGTGCTTTTTGAAAAGAAATCTCTATACTGAGACTGGCTCTGAGGGGCCTGTGGCCTAGCCCAAGACACATTGTCTTTCTTGTTCCTGTGTGATGGGAGTGCTGGTCAGTGAGCATTAAAACATTTTCAAACTCCCCGCCATCCCATGTTCCCCAGACCCTGGAAGTTCTGAGCATTAGTCAGATCCCTTTCTTAAAAGTACTTCAGCTACACTGATTAGAGCCAACAGAAGATAAGAAAACTATGGGTGACCCCCAAATGCTGGCGTTCTCGCTGACCTGCCACTTGGCTCCCAGTAAGATTCAATGGAGCAATTCTTTCTGCCCATGGGACCAAAGACTAGATGAGGACCCTATAGGTGCAAGTCTATGGTCTCTAGATATTGTTTGAATGGCAGGGGTACACTGATTCATCATGAAGGAAGACTTATGAATTCAAGAGAAGGAATAAAGTCAGGGCCTTCTTCTCAGAGCCTCACACTTCCAAACTGTAAGCAAGGAAATGTTCAAGAGGCAGTAATCAGTCAGGAGGGAGTCAATCTCGAATGACCACAATGGTGGCCCTAGAGGCAGAATGGGAAGAGAAGAGCTGTGGTTTCCATACCCTTCCCCAGTCTTACCTCAAGAGCAGAGACCAGAACAGAAAATAAGGAAGGTCAAGGATGGTGGTGAGTCTGCGTTTTTATTACCTTTGTTCTGTCCTACCACCACCACCACCCCTGCCTTTTTTTCTTTAGAAACTGACTTGTGTAACTCACATTTATGCTCACTATGTAGTAGATAGATGCTGGCCTTGATCCTCCTGCTTCTATTTCCCAAGTGCCAGGATCATTGGAATGAGCCACCATACCTGGCTTTATCTTTGTTCTTAGTGTAATATTTTAACTCATAAGTTTACATGATTTAATTTTAATAATGGCTGTTTTTAACACCTGACTCCCAGGATTCCTAGATATTCAACAATCAGTTCTTAGTGCATCATGAAGTGAGGGCCCCAATACTGATGCTAGAAAGGACCAGGTAGGTGTCTTAGTTATTTTCCTATTGCTGTGATAAAACATCATGGACAAAGGCAACTTGTAAAACAAAGTATTTCAGTTGGGCTTGCAGTTTCAGAGGGTTAGAGTCCGTAATAGCAGAGCAAAGGCCTGGCAGTAAGAACAGCTGAGAGCTTATATCTTGATCCTTAAATAAGATGTAGTTGGGGTTGGTGATATTTTGTTGTACTCTAATAAAATTTACCTGAAGATCAAAGGACAGAACCAGCCATTAGATTAGACATAGAGGTCAGGCAGTGGTGGCACACACCTTTCACCCCAGTATTTGGGAAGCATACAAGCCAATAATCCCAGCACTAGGAAGGTTGAGCTAGGAAGTGAAATGGCTGGGTGGAGAAAGGCATATAAGGCGTGAGGAGACAGGAACTAGAGACCCTTTTGGCGGAGGACTCAGAGGCATTCAGTTAGAGGATTCATAGAGTTGGTGAGGTGAGAAGTGGCTGTGGCTTGCTCCTTTGTCTCTCTGATCTTTCAGTATTTACCCCAATATCTGGTTCTGGGTTTTTATTATAAGACCGTGCAACAAGAGAGAGAGAGAAAAAAAACACACTGGGAATTGCACAAGTCTTTTGAAACCTCAAAGCCTGCCCCCAATGACACATCTCCTCCAACAAGGTCAGATCTCATAATCTTTCCCAAACAGTTCTATCAACTGGGGAGAATATACAAGTTCTACCAACATATATATTTCAAATATATAAGACTGTGTAGGCCATTATCATTCAAATCACCACATCAGGCATGGGAGACTCAGTGTTCAGGCTTATGAGGGTTAAACATACAGAACTTCTGTGGGTAAGTTTTGCTAGAGATACAGACTGTCCTCCTACTGAGGTCATCCAAGAGAATTGATATCATGCAGATGTTGCTACTAAGGCCCAGAAGCGTCACTCCTGGACTCCCCCATGCTCAGCCCTGTGATTCATACTAACCATAAATTTCAAAATATAGTACAAAGCTATAGTAATCAAAACAGCCTAGTACAGTTATAAAAAACAGATAGCTCAATCAATAGAAAATGAGCCCAGAGGGCTGGAGAGATGGCTCAGAGATTAAGAGCACCGACCGCTCTTCCGGAGGTCCTGAGTTCAATTCCCAGCACCCACATGGTGGCTGAAACCATCTGTAATGAGATCTGGTGCCCTCTTCCGTATACATAATAAATAAATAAATCTTTTAAAAAAAAGAAAAAAGAAAATGAGCCCAGAAATGGAGCCAAACCAATTAATTTTTTCCACAAAAGTACCAAGAACACACAATAGGGTAGATGTCAGTGATCGGCGCTATCCACATACTATAGAGAGAAAGCAAACCTAATCTCAACTCTTGTGTAAGAACCAACTCAAAGGGGATGATAGGATTAAAACTTGGAACTAAAAAACATAGGAAGAAAGTTTCCCATATTTTAAAAATTCATATGAGTATGATTTTCTAACATTCTTGAAAGTCCTAGTGCTCCTATGGCTTTGCCCTGAGTGCCTTTCCACGGAGGCTCTGGTACTGACCTTGGACACTCCTCTCTTGCTTACAACCAAGGATGTTCTTTTTGGTAGCAGGGTTGGGGTAAGCCTGAGATAGGCTACCCAGAAGAGATAAGTGTCTGGGTAGAAAGGAAGAAAAGGTAGAAAGAAGGAAAAAAATGCTGGCAAGGACTAAGGCCAAGGGCCCCTCAGGCATAGAGTAGAGCAGAGGCCTCAGCAGTAAGCGCCCACCAGTCAGGGAGGGAGTTGCAAAGCCTGGGTGCTGCTCCCATAGGAAGAGCCTCTGGTAGGAAGAAAGCATGCTGCTCCTGTGAAGCCAGAGTACCAACATTCAGAGGCTGCTGACATGAAGGTCCCCAGCACTGTGGTCATAGGCAGGAGGGCTGTCAGGCAAGCCAAGAATGTTGACTACAGCAGAGCAACCCTGGGGGTCCTGATCCGACCCAGGCAGTGGCAATGCTTGATCTTCCTTTGATTACTGTGTATACCAGAGACCACTGGAAAGGTAAAAATGAAAACAAGGAGAAGAGAACAGAAGGCTTGTAAGGATCTCAGTCAGACCACCTTGGATATACCTCTCCCCTCTGGGCCTTCATTTCCTCAGGGTCTCAACAGACCTTGTTTCCTCAACCGGGTATATGATGGCATTCACAGAAGAGCATAATTTCTAGAGGAACCAAGCCACAGAGGGAAGGTGACAGGCGGCAAGGTGAAAGGGGGCAAGAGAAAGGGATGTTAGCCTTGGACACTGTGTTGTGATCCCCTTACTCTGTCCCTCTCCCTGAGAGAATAGTTTGAGCTACCTACTCTCCTATGACTCCAAAGTCAAATATATGGTTTAATCTGCCTGCACTGTAACAGGTCAGCCAGCAGCTGTGACAAACTCCCCAAGCACCAGGGAGGGGTTGTCCCTGGCTACCTAGGAAATAAAGCTCAGGGAATATCTATGGGACAGAGGCATGGGTTAGTCACATATTTGCTCATTCACTCACACATACTCACATATTCACACTCAACACTCATGCACTTACACAGCCACATATGCACACTCACAGGCTTACACACTCTTTCTCTTCATACATGCACACACATACTCATGTACAATACACACATAAAATCAGTCAAGGATTCTTCTGAGATACAACAAATGTCATTACCCTTCCTCTTCCCACATCCTAAGAACAGGAAGGAGCCCATGCTCCTTTCAGTCCCAAGACTATCAAAGCAGAGTGGCCACACTTCAAGGCTGTGGCACTCAGCTTTGTCATGGAGAAGCATGGCTGAGGTGCATAGCAAGTGAGCAGAAATCACTTGTGAATGAGGCAGGACCTGAGTGTTAGAAATAAATGTGGCCCTAGGACAGCTTGGACTGAGATCTCAGGGCTGAGCACTGCAGTTTAAGATGTCCAGGGCTGGGCTGCTGACGTGAAAGTGAAAATGCAGTCCTGTGGCTGTCAAGATTCATGTCTCCTGGGAAATTGCAAGTAGTGTGTGAAGTGTTGAGTGTGAACATGTGGGAGCCAGAGGCCAGGGTGCAAAGATTGATGGGGGTGCTTCTGCAGCAATAGGGGCTGGGTCACACAAATAAGATGGAGACTGGGAAGAGCTACCTCCTACTGAGAGGGCTATGGGGAAATGAGTTAGTTCATCACGTCTAAGAAGAATGGCAGGAAGAAGGCCCCAAGGAAGGCCCATGGAGAAGGGATTCTGCTATGGACCAGGCCCACTGAGAGTTGGAGGACTGACTGGGCTGGTGCGATGCCTTGAGAGGCTTGTGTTTGAGAACGCAAGTTCTCGTGGCCTAGGCTTGTGAAAGGAGACTCTGGTACCTGGTCTGGCCTAGGACTTATGTCGGTATTAACAAAATAGTCATTCTCAAATTCACTTTGCTGAGACATGAAAGTATCTGCTGTTGACACTGCAAACCATGGTGCCCCCTGGGCTCACTGCAGAGTAGATGAGAATGGTTACTTGGATCTTTGCCTTTTAAGCTCACAGTGACTTCAGTTTCTACTCATTTGCTCATTCACTGGGCATGAAGCCAGCACTAGGTATTAAGTGTCAGGGATACAGGCTAAGCAAGCCTGGAGAACTCATCACCCAGTGGGTTTCTAGGCTCCCTCTGGAGTCAGGATGCAGGTAAGTCTGTATTCACAGAAAACCTTGAGTTTCACACCATCAGTCAGTGTCCTCCTGGGATTTAGGGCCAGTTGGGCACCCTGCAGGAATTACACTTGAAATGTTTGTGATACCAAGACTGAGTGGACGCCACACCTTCTGAGGCCAGACAGGTGAGGCCACAGGCCAACACGTGTACCACTCCCCCAGGTGCTTCTCTGGTCGGCCAATAAGGTATTTGAAGAGCTGACAGACATCGAAAGGCAGTTCCACAAGGCATTCTACACTGTTCGGGCCTATCTAAACTGTGACCGGTACTCAGTGGGCCTCCTGGACATGACCAAGGAGAAGGTGAGGTCTCAAACTCCCAGGCGCCTCCTTCCCAGTGTGGCCCAGCTCATAGGCTGAACATTCCCTTCTCTCTTCTTCTCTGCCCAGGAATTCTTTGATGTATGGCCTGTGCTGATGGGGGAAGCCCAGCCATACTCAGGCCCACGAACACCTGATGGCCGGGTAAGTCAAGCTGATAGGTGGCAAGCACCCCACAAGAGGATGGGGAAATAGGGTAGCCTCAAACACTTATCTGCTCTCATCAGCCTGCACTGCCCTAATGAGGGTGAATTCTCTAGATCTGCTTTAGCTTGCCGGAGCTCCTGTAAATATTGTGACATGCTTGCACATGAATTTTAGTGTATGTATGGAGCATGGGTCCAGTTGGTGTGAAATTAAATGGGATATAGGTAAGATAGATCTCAACCTGGGTGTGCAATACACATCTATGAGTATGAGTGCCAGAGAAAGAATGTATTGGTACACACACACACACACACACACACACACACACACACACACACACACAAACACACACACACACAATTACATGGGTGCTGTGCCTGTGTCATCTGTGAATGGGTGTGTCTGGGTGGGTGCTGTTCTCTTTTCCCTTCAAGAAAAACTCCACCAAGAAGCTGACCAGGAGTTCCTACATTGATGTGTTTTGTTTCCCAGGAAATTGTCTTCTACAAAGTCATTGATTATATCCTCCATGGCAAGGAAGACATCAAAGTCATTCCGTAAGTGCTGGGGTTTGACAAGTGGCTCACCCCAGGATGGAACATCCGTAAACCCAACCTGTGGATTAGCTGTCTCAAGGGCATCTATGTAGAGCCAGCAGGGCCTTCCCAGGACAGGGAGGAGGAGCATGGACAGATGAAAAGGGAAGTTACTGGACTAAGGCACTTAGACATCTGCTTCAGATATCTAGGGAGTCGGGTGAGCTGTCAGGTGGCCCCATCCGCAGCTACTCAACCATCTCAGCCCTGGCAGGTAAAGCCTCCACAAGGTAAGGCCATCGTCACACCCCAAAGGAAAGTCTAGTGCAGAGCACAGGCCTAGAGGTACAATAGTCCTATGATTATGTGGCCAGTGACCTCATGAACCCATAAGCCTGTCAACATCCCAAACAGGCTCCAAGAAAGGAGTAGGATTCAGGTATCAGGGCTGCAGAACAGGTAACCAACACTGACTCTCCAGAGGCCAACTGAAGTCAGGAGCCTCCAGTAAGGGAAGGGACCCTGAAAAAGAGGAGATCCAACAAGGCAGAACGGAAGGCACCTCCTCCTGTCCTCCTCCAGTCCTCAGTACTTTACTAGCCCCACCCCACCTAAGCTCAGAGAAGGGAAGAAACTGAATTCATATATGATTTCATCTAACAATCCAAGCATCTATTCCTCTGATCTCTGCTCTTTTCCCACAGCACACCTCCAGCTGACCACTGGGCCCTGGCCAGTGGCCTCCCAACCTATGTAGCAGAAAGTGGCTTTGTGAGTGCCCCTCTCCAGGCCTTGGCCTGTGCTTGCCAGTGCTGCATGCCTGTTGGCCTGCCACCTCCTATTAGCCCTTCCTGCTAGCTGCTGCTCACCTTGCCCAGTTGGAAGCTCCTCTCTTATAGGCAAGGCTAAATAGACTAGTCCTTGTGCTTATGTATTCAGTTGCTCAGAATGGAATTGCTTCTGATCCTTTCCAGATCTGTAACATCATGAATGCTTCAGCTGATGAAATGTTCCAGTTTCAGGTAATCTGCCTACTGATTGCTAGAAACTACATTTTACTTGAAAAGAGGGTATTTTGTTTCAGAAATGGTGGGTTGAATTAGGTTTTCCCACTCAAGGAACAATTTTATGGGCCTGGGGAATGACTCAGTAGATAGTGTTTTCTATGAAAGCATGAGGATCTGAGTTCAGATCCCCAGCACCCATGTTAAAAAAAAAAAAAACAGGCATGGTAAAACGTACCTATAACCTCAGTGCTAGGTTAGGAAATAAGAAGCAGGCAGGACAAGATGATCCTGGGGGCTTAGTGACCAGCTAATCTAGCTGATCAGTGAGCTCCAGCTTCAGTGGGAGACCCTATCTCACAAAATAAGTGGCAAGCAATAGAAGAAAACATTCAACATGGATTTCTGGCCTCCACATGCACACACATGGGCACACACATATGTATAATATACACACATAAAACAACTTCACTCACATCTGTAATCCCATCACTCAGAAGGCTGAGGCAAAAGGATTGCTGCAAATTAGCCCAAGGCCAACTAAAGAGTGAGATTCTGTCTTAAAAAGCAAAAGAAAAATTAAGGAACAATTTCATTTTCAGTGACTGAGAAACCATACAAGAAATATGTATCTGTGCTTCCAGGTCTACGATTGAGCTGATTTAATTGGGCTCAGTTAGACTCAGGTGATCTTGTCTAGTCTCAGCTGACCTTATCTGGTCTCAAATGATCTTGGCTGAACTCGGGAAAGCTTATCTGGGCTAAGTGGATCCAGTCTGGTCTCAGCTGGTCTAGTCTGGTCTTAATTTATCGTCACTGGGCTCATCTGGGCTCATCTGGTCTTCATTGTGCTCAGGAGAAGTGAGCTAATCTTTGGGCTCAATCAACCCTGGCAGGACTCGGCTGAATTTTCTTTGGTATCACTTGGTCGATCCTGGTCTGGCAAACTTCTCTGGGCTGGGACTACGAGGGTTTAGACTTTCTTTGCCCTACCTGTCTTTATCTGGGGTTTGGACAAACATACCCAGGGCCACACAGCCCTTTCCTAAGGGAGGTCATGTTTAGGAACACGTTTTGTCACTAACAACCTCTTGGAGGAACTGGTCAAAAATTACTATCTGGATTTCATATTGGAAGACATAATGAACCAACTATACAATGTGGAAATGTGGGCCCATTTGTTGACAATTAGTAAGTGCTTTAAGAGCAAGGCTTTTCAATACTTCTAAGAAGTATCCTTGGGCCTAGAGCCCTCATGTGCCCTTGATGTTTGCTACGGTGGGGAAATAGCTTCCTCCAGCCCAGAAAATTATGACACAAAGCCTATGAACATAAAGTTCACAGACAAGTGAGAGCAAAAAGACAGCATTCAACCTATTAACGTAGCTTGAGGAGAGAGAAACTGAGGTCTATCCCCACCCCCAGGCACCAAGTCTTACCAGACCACACCCAGAACAGCCTCGTTCTTTCTCTGCTCCCTGCAGGAGGGGCCCCTGGATGATTCTGGGTGGGTGATCAAGAACGTTCTCTCCATGCCCATTGTTAACAAGAAAGAGGAGATTGTGGGGGTGGCAACCTTCTACAACAGGAAAGACGGGAAGCCCTTCGATGATCAAGATGAAGTTCTCATGGAGGTAAATATCCAGTGCCATACGTGGACAAAGATGTCCATCTATGATGGTGCGGGGCATCAGTGTGTATTGTTCCTCTCCACACACTTCTGGACCCTGCTTAGCACTAAGTCAAGGAGAAAGGGACAAAGATAGTTCACAAAGTTCTATCTCTGGAGGTCTCATTCAGAGGCATCCACTGTACTGCAGAAGTCTGGGAAACTGGTCACTGTGCCATGGGTGTAGAACATAGTAAGAGTCACCAGAGTGGTTGGGTAATGGGGTGACACTGCCGTCTACCTCCAGTCCCTGACACAGTTCCTGGGATGGTCAGTGCTGAATACCGACACCTATGACAAGATGAACAAGCTGGAGAACCGTAAGGACATCGCCCAGGACATGGTTCTGTACCATGTGAGATGCGACAAAGATGAAATCCAGGCAATCTTGGTACTGTGCCTAGCATTCTATGGGTCCCTCTGTCTGGGGAGGCAGGGAATTCAGTGATAAAGACATATCCCTGGGGCCCAGGCTAGGTCTAACATGGTACAACCCAGACAGTGTCCCTGTGTCTCACCCTAAGCAGTGAGCAAGTGTGACCAGAGCCTTCCTGGCCTGCCTCATTATTCCATCTATAATCCATGTGTGTCACTAAGAACTGCACAGGGAAAGGAAGGAAAGTCGGGGTTCCCAGAAACTGACCGCTTATGTCTGGAATTGAGGATGTCTGAACACAAGGAGATTGCTGTCCTTCAACAATCAGGAGCCCTGTGTTCAACATGTTCCATGATGCGCACCATCATTCTGTTACCTTGACAGGGTGAAGGTGATGTTGTCACTGTCATGTGGGTAAAAGTGACACCACCACTGACACACTTATGGATGGGCGTGATACTGCCATCTATCACATGAGGTGAAGGTTAAGAGTCACTTTGTCATAGTCATAGGGTAAAGATGATACTATCATCCTGTCCCTTGTGGGGGAATGGTAATAAGTTCACTGTGTAACATTTGTGGAATGAAGGGGTTACTGTCACTCTGTCATTCCTGGGATAAGGGTGATATTGTCAGCCTATCATATGGAGCATAGGTGATGCTGTCACTCTGTCACATAGGGTGAAGTGACACTATCACTCAGTCCCACAACTCACCTGTTGTTCTCTGTTAGCCAACAAGGGATCGCCTGGGGAAAGAGCCCGCTGACTGTGAGGAGGATGAGCTGGGGAAAATCTTGGTGAGAACCTGCTTCCAGTGGACACAAGCTGCTCTCATGAGTGGCAGGAGAGAGCCCTGGCACACACAGCATCCTCTCATGATGTTAGTGCTACCTGAGTAGGAATGTCAACACTCCCCAACAGAGGTGACGATACAGCTCTGAGAGTGTCCAGCTGGAGTTTACTTGATATCTGCCCTGCTGAGTGTCTCTGTCTGCCTTCCTGCCTCCTCTGTGTTTCCCAGAACTATCCATGTTTTAGCTTCTGATGCCACAATTTGGGCCAAGTGTCCATCTATGCTGCCGCCCTATAGGAGTAACCAGGTGCTACCGCCCCTCGTTTAGATATAGCTGTGTTTGTGTGTTTACATACTTCTGTGTGCACTTGTGTTTTCATGCATGTGTGTGTATAGGCACATACAGACACATGTTTGTGTGTCTCCCAGAGAACATCCCTACATCAACTTGACAGTTATGGGACACCTACCTTTTTCTGTCACTTGTGTGATTTATCAGAATCACCAGAGCTGTTTGTTTACTGAATAGTTTGGGGGTTTATTAATGCATTCAACATGTTCTAAACACTAATGGCTCTATGTGAGGTGGGCACATATGTTCCCATGTGTCCATATGGGTAGGTCTGAATCCATGTATATGCCTCTGTGACTTTTCATATATATATATATATATATATATATATATAGTGCTACCTGTGTAGGAATGTCAACACTCCCCAACACTCCCCTACCATATATATATATTGGTTTTTTGAGACAGGGTTTCTCTGTGTAGTTTTTGGTGCCTGTCCTGGATCTCGCTCTGTAGACCAGACTGGCCTTGAGCTCACAGAGATCCACCTGCCTCTGCCTCCGAGTGCTGGGATTAAAGGTGTGTGCCACCACCACCTGGCTTCACGTATATATCTTTACGTTTGCTTTTCCAACATCACTGCTACCAAGTCAGGCAAGCTTCTCACAGTCCAGTCACCTGGTGGGTGGAAACAGTAGAATAGGTTGGGAAAATATGAGTGACCTAGCTATAAATTTGAGTAACTGGAAGGCAGACATCACCAGAGATACCTGAGTGCCTGCCTGGACAAGGGTTCAGAAAAAAAAGAAAGGTTAAGAACCAGTGGGGGTGTGGTAGGTCTGCTTTCCTCAGCCCATAATCTCTCTTACAGAAGGAAGAACTTCCAGGGCCTACCAAGTTTGACATCTACGAGTTCCACTTCTCTGATCTGGAGTGTACAGAGCTGGAGCTAGTCAAATGTGGAATCCAGATGTACTATGAGCTGGGTGTAGTCCGAAAGTTCCAGATTCCCCAGGAGGTGGGGAGATATGGTTGGAGGTTCCAGAACAAGAGGATGTGGAGGGTTGGTTAAGGGTTACAGATCCAAGAGGTGAAAGGCATGTGGTGAGAGCCCTCAGAGATCACCACTGGGAGGAAGGGAAGGTTATTCCAGTTCAGAGCTCCACAATTCTGCTCCTTCCCTGGGCTTCTCACTCTGTCTTGTATCCACCTCCATACCTGTGTCCCCACAGCCCACATAAAGAATGAATAATCTCTCATGCTCCCCAGAAACCAAGAGTGACAGGCTGGTATTTCAGAAAGAATTTTTACTAAATTCTAAGGGAAACAGAATAGAAAAAAATTATAAAACAATAGTACCAGAATAAAAATATTTCCAAATACTTATTTGACCCTAAATATCATAATGAAAATATTAGAGAGCTCCCTTAGCCTGTATTCTCTTTCTTGAAGAAAATGTCTAGGTGCTCTACCTTCCTGCTCACAGACACATATCTGACCCATTCAAACATTCAGCCCTAAAACTAATATTTTTGTTTTATTCTTTTTGTTTTGTTTTTGTTTGTTTCTCAAAGTATCCCACATCCCAGGGGTCCTCTTTCCATTATGGGTCTGGGCTATGGAGATAGAGACATCAGATTTCAATGGCTGGAGCTGTTCTTAGTTCTACTGTGTGAGAGCCCTTCCCAAACAGGAAGGGGCTAAGGGGAACAAGGAACAAGGGCTCTGAGACCAACAAGATAGAAGTAGGAAAATGGGTATGACAAGCTCCACTACAAGAGTTTGAAAGGCTTGGGTAGATTCTCATGTGGTGTTGTGTAGACTCATATGTGGCTTCCAGCATCCACATGTCCTCTGCTCCCCCAGGTCCTGGTGCGGTTCTTGTTCTCTGTCAGCAAAGCCTATCGAAGAATCACCTACCACAACTGGCGCCATGGTTTCAATGTAGCCCAGACCATGTTTACGCTACTAATGGTATGTATGGAAATGGGATGGGGTAAGAAGATTCAAGGGCCTGGAACAAAGACCACAGCTACTACCTTCTGGTCCAAGGATGCCTGTTGTGCTTGCCCAGTCCTGGCAATGGGTGGAGGGGACTTGGGTGGGCAAAAGAACGGGTTTGGGGCAGCCCCACATTTCCTTCAACCTCTGCTTTCTGGAGCCAGAGAGCTGGGCCAGTGGCAGGACCCAGAACTGGACTTCTCCCCCACAGACAGGCAAACTGAAGAGCTACTACACAGACCTGGAGGCCTTTGCCATGGTTACAGCTGGCCTGTGCCACGACATCGACCACCGTGGCACCAACAACCTGTACCAGATGAAGTAGGCTGTGGGGAGGGCAGGCTCGTGGTGGGCATGGTAAACCATAAATCAAACATGGTTAGGGTCAGTCTTTGCAGTCTGGCAATCAGTACTGAGAGGGGCTACCTTGAAGGCACAGTGCCAGGTGGGTCAGACCTCATCCTACTGCCTTCTAACATTTTTTTTGTTGTGTCTTCTTTTTAAATAAAATATGCAACAGATCCCAGAATCCTCTAGCCAAGTTACATGGCTCCTCAATTCTAGAACGGCACCACCTGGAATTTGGGAAGTTTCTGTTGGCAGAGGAGGTTTGTTCCTGATTTGGTGATGGGTCCTCCTCTGGGCTGTGGCAAACAGGCAGGAGGCCCTGGGAAGCAAGTTTATCAGTGTGAGGTGCTACCGGACAGGCTCCCATCTAGAGATGCTCCCACATGGGGTAGAATTGTTTTCAAGGAGCAGTAGCCATGAATGGCCACTAGTGGGTACAACAGATCATGGAAATGGGAAAAGATATTTGACTTGGGACCTTCCCAGGCAGAGGATAGACACCAAGGGAGGACAAGGATGGCTATCCTTGCTTGGAGAGGTAGCCATAAGACTGATCTGGGATCACATAAGTGAAGGCCAGGTTAGAGTGCAGGGAGTAGACAGAGTAGGCCCTGAGAGTCAAAACCAAGGGTACCCCAGGCAACATCTGCCACAACCCAACACCAACTGACGGTCCCCACAGAGCCTGAACATCTACCAGAACCTGAACCGGCGGCAACATGAACATGTGATCCACCTCATGGACATTGCCATCATTGCCACTGACCTGGCCCTCTACTTCAAGTAAGAATGCATCAGAGGCAGGAGGTGTGGGTGGGGCCCTCAGCAGACATAGACAGCCATGACCAATCTGTCACTTACTCCTCCCCTCCTTTGGGGACCAGGAAGAGAACAATGTTCCAGAAGATTGTGGATGAGTCTAAGAACTACGAAGACAAAAAAAGTTGGATTGAGTACTTATCCCTAGAGACAACACGAAAAGAGATAGTCATGTAAGTAATAGGTCTATCATTGACCAACTAGCCCTGCAAGACCTCCCTGACCCCAGGGATAGGAGACTACAAAACAAGATTAGCTCTCTCTAAATTGAACAAAGGCACTGGATCAATCTGTCCTGAGATTCATGGACATCAGCACAGAATTCAGAGTCAGATAGCCTTCCTTAGGACCCTTGATCATCACTTCTTGCTTCATGCTCAGTTCCACTTCTTCCCCTACAAGGTGGTGACTCAGGACTAGCACCTTCCCCAGGATTGTCTCAGAGAAGCTGAGAAAATGTGTTCTCTCTGTTCTCAGAAGGACATATAGTCTGCTCTGTCTGTTCACAGGGCCATGATGATGACTGCATGTGACCTGTCTGCTATAACCAAGCCCTGGGAAGTCCAGAGCAAGGTCAGGACTGATGACCATCTGGACTCAGAATAGCCCTTTAAAGGCCATCCTGGGTCTTCACCTAGGGAGCTACAGGGAAATGGTGGTGATTTTTTGAAGTAATGTCTGGGTACAACAGGGAGAGGTACCTTATGAACACTGCCTGCAGAGCTTCAAGAGGAGGACCTGCTGCTCCTGAACACAGAGCCCCACTATAACCTTTGTGTGTGCTCAGGTTGCTCTTCTTGTGGCTGCTGAGTTCTGGGAACAAGGAGACTTGGAGAGGACTGTCTTGGATCAACAGCCCATTGTGAGTGTTGCTTTCAGAATCTTCCATCTTGATGTGTGAATTAGAACACTTGGTAGTGCTCTAGACCCCAGGATTTTAAGGTCCTGGAGTTTTAACCTTGATTTGTGGGGTCCTTGGCATGAGCATGGGTAATTTGGCATCTTGTAGAATAAAAATTATGAAAAATTGGAAGATCTAGATTGTAGCTCACAAACAAGAGCCCCTAGGGCCTATGCAGCACAGTACATACACTAGGCAGGGTATCAGAGACTATGGAGATCCAGTCCCTCGATAGTCCCCTCTCAGGGTCCAGGAAGAATCTACAACCAGCTGATAATTAATCTTTGATGATATGAAATGAATCTATGTACACGAAACTCCTTAGTCCATACACTCTATTCTTCTGAGTCAGTTCTCTCTCTACACAGCTTCTATTCTGCTCTCATGTCTAGCTCCTTTCTTGCCTGATTTCTCTCTATATTTATCTACTGTCCCCTCTAGGTTCTATCTTAACTCCTTCATTTAGTTCTGTCCCTTCTAGGTTCTCATCTATCTAGTTCTTTCCCCTATCAGCTCCTCTCCCATCTCCTTCTCTCTCATCTGGCTCTTCCTCATCTTCCATCTCGTTTCTCTAGTCCTCTCTTCTAGCCCTTCAATCTAGTTCTTCCCCATCTCAGTTTGTTCCTCTCAAGTTCTTACCTATCTAGTTCTTCCATTCTCTTTTCTCTTCTCCGTCCTGTGACCTGGAAGTCCCTGGTGTAAAGGGAGGGTCCGAGTTAAATTGTGTAAAGCTATTACTTAATGTCCACCTCTCCTAGGCGGTGTCTCCTTGTGGAATTTACCTTAAGTCAGGAGACTTGCATGTGGGCTGCTATCACTGTTAGTCCTTGAAAGTTGGGGCCCACCTGGATGGTGTCTCCTTGTGGAATTTAAGTCAGGAGACTTGCACGTGGGCTGTTATCATTGCTATCCAAGGAAGGTGGGCGCCCACCTGGGCGGTGTTTTCTGTAGTCCTTGAAAGTGGCTAAGGGACTTTCCAGAGAAAGCCTTTCCTGAGGCTGTTCTTCAAATACCTGGAATGTGTGTGTCCAGAGAGTGATCAGTCCACACTGTTAGCCCTTCTAGGGAAAAGTCAATTGGGAAAACTATGAAGGCACACATGATTTCCATAGCAGAAGACAGCTGATATATAACAAGCCAAGTAACACCAAAAACTCCTTGGGATATGGCTTCCTCTGGAGAATTCCCTGATTCCTCCAGGTAGTGACTTTGCCATAACCAGCTGAGTTCTTATGATATATTCCTGCGGCCTGCAGCAGCAGGGCAGTTCAGGGAGGGCAACTCTGAGAAGGGCAACCCTAGGGGGAATGGGGAGGAGTAGAGGTAGCAGTCCATGGCAAGATAGACACTGAGGCTGTTATTGTTAGGGATAGGCCCACTGCTAACACCAGGGATGGCATCTATCCACATAGGAACTAGGAACTACATCGGTTTGCTTTGACCACTTGGGGAGGCACAAGGAGGCAAAGACTTTATCTCCCAGCTTACTAAGAAGAACTGTTTGGAGCAGGCTTTAGACAAGGTACAGACAGCAAGAGAGAGGCCTTTGCCAGCTAACAAAGTCTCATAGGGAGGGGTAGCACCCATGTCATTTGCCTGTGTTTCTTCCACAAGCCCATGATGGACCGGAACAAAGCAGCTGAGCTCCCCAAGCTGCAAGTTGGCTTCATCGACTTTGTATGTACTTTCGTGTACAAGGTGCGCAACAGAGGTGTTCGGTGTTGGCTGGGGTGGGTTGGCCAAAAGTGGGTAAGGAATGGGCTGGACCCAGCAGTGACCGTACAAGGACATTTGTGTGGTCTCCACCCTTATCTGATAGGGTAAGATGTACAACTACTCTTGTACATCTTAACCTATCACAACACCCATCTCAACCTGCCTAGCCACTGATCTGTCCCAAAACGTGTAACTGTCCTTCAGAAGCACCAAGTATGCCTCTAGAAGGTCCTTACTCATCCGGAGGTCCCACTTTAAATACCTCTACCTCAGAGTGCCACTTTACCACAACGGGCACACTGTCTTCAGGAAAACGACTTGCCTACTAGGCATCTGTGAAAATGTGAAAGCAAACCTGAGTGTCTGTCTCCATTGGCACACCCCAATACAACCTGAAGAACATGATAGCAGCCATGTTTCCACTAGCTGGTCAGGCACCAATATACTGCCAAGAATTTGGATTCTGCTATTTGATTGTAGGACATAAGGTAGAAACTTGGAGAGACTCAAAAGATAGGCCTGACTACAGTGTCCTCATGTGATACACATGACATCCCAGCTCCACACCTCTCTGGTTGTACTCAGTGTTGACAGACCCCACATTGTAAGGTAGATGCTGTGTGATTCCAAGTGAAGTCAGTCCTAAGCAGCCAGGCAAGCAGGAAGAGGTGGCCCTACCATCTTCCTCAGTCCATCCACATCATCTGAAAGCAGCTATAGGGATTGTTGAAGCTTCCAATCCCCCTGCAGCTGACATTCTTTGCTCTATTCTTCGGATGCTCATCCTGCTAGTACTGTATCGTAAGTACTTATACCCAACAGCTCCCTCTCACACAAGTTCCTATCCTGTCCTCCTTCTTAGGGATTATCTGGAAAGGGGACACTTAAGTGGTTCTTTCCTATGCTGATCAACTATAGGTGACATTGCCTAGGGGTCAGCCCCAAGTGAAATAGGCTGAGGGTGGGGGAACCAAGCTCATGCTGGACCTTTAGCAAGCCACAGATCATGTAACCTGGGGATTAGTAGTAGCCATCTTACAAGCATAATGTCAGGGAGTGTGAGGCCTCACTTCACTGTCTTTATGACTTTTAAAATACAACAGGCCATAGATAGGAGAGCATCCTCGGTCCAATGAGTCTGGTGATAGGGAAGCCTGAGACCTTGAAGAGCTACTATTTGAGCCCTCCAGGAGCAGTGGAACAGCATAGTGACTTCTCAGTTCCCTCTAGGAATTTTCTCGTTTTCATGAAGAGATCCTGCCCATGTTTGACCGACTGCAAAATAACCGAAAGGAGTGGAAAGCGTTAGCTGATGAGTATGAGGCCAAAGTCAAGGCCCTGGAGGAAGAAAAGAAGAAGGAAGAAGACAGAATAGCAGCCAAGAAAGGTCTGGGCCCCTCAGAGGGCTGGGATGGGCTCATAGTCAACCCCTAAGTCAGTGCTGCAATATGGCAGAAAACCACCAAGCTATCAGAAAGGCAGCTAATTCACATAGCCCTAAGCTGAGGCTGAGGCTCTGGAGCCAAAGAATGCCCCATCCATCTATCCTGTCCTTCAAGGGACATTGCAGCTCTTGCCACGTAGATAACAGATGAGACTGAATGCTAGTATATTCCTATACATGGGAAGTAAGCTCACTTAACTCCTATCAGTTCTCTTGTTCCACTAAGTAGCAGTTCTTTCCCAAGTGTGGTAGCACATGCCTGCAATCCCCCCAAAGCTATCCTCAGAAACAAAAGAGCACACCTGAAGAAAACACAAAAAGGCAAAAACAAAATCAGTGAGCTAAGCAAGAGTTAAATTGGCACAGTGCTAACCTGTATCATGTGACTCAGTTGAACACACTGCACCCCAGATCAGAAGCCCAGTGACATTACCTTATCTTTTGCAGGGTTTGTTTACCCTGGAGCTGGGGTTCTCCAGGGCCATTGAGTGAGCACATTGAATAAGGCATCTTCTGGGTCACGGGAGGTCAGGGCTGAAAGTAATCAGGGCACAGTGACCGCAGAGGCTCAGGCACTAAGGCTCAGCATAATCGGCTTGGGTTGGCCAGACCTAGTTCAACCCCTGCAGGGAGAACCTACAGGTGCTAGCCGAGGACATGGCATAGAAGGGAGACAATCGACCACTCATAGTCTATCTTCTCTTGCAGTGGGCACAGAAATTTGCAATGGTGGTCCCGCACCCAAGTCTTCAACCTGCTGTATCCTGTAAAACTATGTAGTGGCTTCTGGCCCCTCCTGCCACTCACTGGAGATGGACTCTGCCTATAACAGTTTGGTGTAAGACATTAGGAAGCAGAAAAAAAAAGATCAAATATAACTTTGAATATTTTGAAATTTTAAAGTTGTTTTGTTTTTTCAAATTAAAGCCAACTATGACTGTTAAATAGCGTAGCCCATATTTATCTGGTTTGATAAAGTTCCCACAAAGGTCTTTACAAAGGATTTGTGAATTGTATCTGAAATCAGAGCTCTACTCTTGTACATATGTGTATATAGGTATTCAGTTCCATCTGCTTAAGTAAAATCATGCCCAGGGAGTCAGAATAAAATAATAACTTGCCAGTTTTATACATGCTAACATCATTTGACGGCACATCGTATTTGACTCATTGAGACTCTGCTGGGTCAAGGCTGTGAGCAGAGCTGAGATCAAACAGAAGTGGCCTGATGGGAATAACCTGGGTGGGACCCTCGTGAAGGAAGCAACTGTTGACACTGCAGGGAAGCCTGAAGGGCAGAGTTGAGGCCTAAGTCCAGTGGGACTTCACAAGACTAGCCTTTTAAACATGCACTATCTGGCAGGCAACAAACTCCTGGGATCCCAAAGAATTTGTTCTCCTGGGAAGAGAATACATCCAGCAGTTTGCCTTCAACACCGGGGAGAGGGGGCAAATTTAATCCTCAGAGTCCCAGACAGTGGGATACCATTTGAGGGGAGTGGAGGGGGAAAGCAGCTCTTCACTCAGCCTCTAAAACCAAATATAGGATTTTGAAGTATACATATGCTGCTTCTTTCAACTCACTTTAAAAGCAAAAAAAAAAAAGCTCTAAACCCAGGAAACGTGCACAAGGCATAAAACTGAGGGAGCAGTAACACTTCTGGTTTGCTTTTGATTGCTATGATAAACCATGACCAAGAGCAACTTGGAAGGTTAAGGGTTTATTTGGTTTACACATCTCCATCACAGTCCATCACTGAGAAAAAGTCAGGACAGGAACTCAAGCAGGAGCAGAGGAACCATGGAAGAACACTGCTTACTGGCTTGCTCACTTACACAACCCAGGACCATCAGCCCAGGGGTGGTACCACCCACAGTGAGCTGGACACTCCCACATCAACCATCGATTAATACCCCACAGATACAATCAAAAGTCAATCTGCTAAATAATCCCTCGATTGAGGTTCCCTCTTCCAGGTGACTAGTTTGTGTCAAGTTGAAAAGAACTAGCTAGCACACCAGCTGTTGGCATACAGGAGCCCGTGGGTACAGATGGAGGGACAACTTCTTTTAGGTCATTTTCCAAGACCCAGAGGAAAATTATGAGTTGAGGGGGCACAAGATCCATGTTACTGTGAAGGCATCAACTCCCACCTGTCCTCCTGTACACGGCCTGAGCTTCTGACAAAAGCAGACCAGCTCAGGGCAGAGCCAAGCAAGCTGCACCAGGAGGCTAAGCCACTCTATTTCTTTGGCATCCAAAAGAATTGGAGCCCCAACTTGGCCAAACCACTGCACCTTTCTGTACCTGTCAAGTGCTTCTGAGCTGCACTTTGTATCTGTGCCGGGTAATGATCACTAATTCCTTTGAACCGCCCCTCAGTGAAAAGTCAGGAAACAACTGCAGAGCTGGTTGGTGCCTAGAAGCAAACACCCAAGGCAGTAAAGAGAGGAAGCCAGAGCATCACACAACAAAGCTTTATTCATCCTCAGCGACTAAAAGAAAAGGCAAGCTCACTGGCGCGTCACTTGAGTATGCTGTCATCTTGAGCTGAAAATCGAGAAGAGACAGTGTCACACATTATACACATTTGGGCTACCTGCGAGGACTTCAGGATCGCAGTTTTTTTTTTTTTTAAAAATCCAGAATCTAATTCCAAGAGAACCTAACTTTGTCACTAAAACCATCCCTTGCATCCCCACTGCCCACTCCACCTGACTGGAATCTGCGTCAACAGAGTGGGGTCAGGGAGTCTGCTCAGCGGTAGCCTCTCTGAAGGCAGTGCAACAGCATGGCCCACACATTCTCCTGTGCTCCACGGAGAACAGCGCTGGAAACATGTGCCACCCAGTCTCCTTCCAGAAAACCTGGAAGTGGGGGGAGGGACTAAAAGCCATACCTTCTGCCAGTTCTCTCTCAATCCGTTTCAGCTCATCTAGTCTCTTCTTTTCCTCCGCTGCCACCCTCCTCTCCTCCTCTGCCCGGGGTTTTAGGTAACCTGGGGAGCGGAAGCAATTAACTTCTTCCCTAAAAATGATGCGTGAAAAAGCCGACTCCGGAATCTCCGGGTAGCTGTTGCCACCTGCTCCCTTGTGGGCCTAGTGTCTTCTCCCTCCCCGGGAGCTGCAGGTCAGTGCAATCCCACACAACCAGCTCTCTCTCACCCCGAATCCCGCACTCCCGGTCCCCGAACTCACTATAGCGCTTGGCGCCGTAGGCCATGCCGATGACCAGGGCTGAGTATCGGCAGAGCTGCAGAAAAAGAAGCGTTAGAGCAGAAGGCGCATTACCTGAGGACGAGGAGATAGGAGATGGAGGAGTACGGGTAGAGGGGAACAGGGCGGGGGGGGGGGGGGTGCAAGGGTCTCCAGGCCCAGGACTGCCTTGAGACCACAGCCAGCAGTCTCGAGGGTGGGACACGCTGTCAGGGTAGTGGTAAGGGGCATGCAAGGGTTCTCAGCACCGTGCAGCGACGGTGAAGCGGGTTCACCTTGATGAGCGGAGAGACCTGAACTGGGGGAACCATCTTGTCCGTGACCTTCGCGCCGGAAGCTCAACTGAGGCGGAAGACACAGCAAGAGCGCAGGCCTCCTCCTGAAGCCAGGAAGGCGCATGCGCCTTAGCGAAGACGCGCCCCCTGGTGACCGGAGGGTAGCGGCGCGTTCCTTCCGGGCTGTGCAAAGTCTTTGGGCTGAGTGTGCAAGACGACCTCAGGAGGGTGGAGACTTGGGGCCACATTACTTCAGCACAAGCTTGTAATGAACGACCAGCCCTGGAATCCGCCGCCCACCTACTCTGGACTGGAGCAGGCAAACAATCCCTTCCTCTCGTGGAACAGACGAGCACCACCCCACCCACCCCACCCCTCGGCAGACCTGCCCAGGGCGGCCCGTTGAGTGTGGGGGCAAGATTACAGACCTTGTTTTGGCCATCCCTGAAATATCAGCCTTCTAAGCCTTTCCTGCAACTGCCCGCCCTGGATGCATATGCCTTCTGGCCAGCGCAACCGGGTTGTCTCGCTCACAGCGAAAGTTGGGTTCTCTTGGAATTAGATTCTGGATTTTTTTTTTTTTAAACTGCAATCCTGAAGTCCTCACAGGTATCCCGAGTGTGTATAATGTGACTGTCCCTTCTCGATTTTCAGCTCAAGATGACAGCATACTCATGTGAAGCGCCAGTGAGCTTGCCTTTTCTTTAGTCGCTGAGGATGAATAAAGCTTTGTTGTGTGATGCTCTGGCTTCCACCTCAGGTTTTGAGATCTTACTGGTGAAGGCCATCCAAACGGGGCTGACCCCTGAGTTTCCCAGCCCACATTCTCAGGACCCCAAACCCTGAGCCCTAATGACCCCTCTTCACCAGGCCTTGTGGGGACAGACTATGAAGCACCCAAACTGCCAAACTGGTTTTCCACAGGCACTGTCCCCAGAGTGAGCGCCTCTCTAGCAGCCGTGTTCTCGACCTGTGGGTCACCATCCCTGGGCAAGCCTCTATCTCGAAAAATATTTACAATTCATAACAGTAGCAAAATTACAGTTATGAAGTAGCAATGAAAACAGTTCTGTGGTTGGGGGGGGCACCACAACATGAACTATATTAAAGGCTCGCGACAATAGGAGGGTTGAGAGCCACTGGCCTAGACTGAAGTTGTCCAGCTGATTACCAGCTGTGTCTGCTATTGGCATGCAGTCTCCAAGGAAGTCAGGCATGGCAAGGTTGTAGCCATCCATTGGCTGGCTTTACCCGCTCTCCCTCCAATGCCCAGTAGTGACTTGACATCTCCCTAAGGCTGTCTTTGAATCAGCCTCCACAGTTTTGCATTGCACCAGGGCTTGGAAAGGTACACAGTCCATTGGGATGGGGTATCTTTCCCTGACTCTTCATTAAATCCGTATTTGTAAAGAGAATGTAACTATGGATATAAATTGAATACAATGCAGCAATGAAAAACCCCAGAGCTCGTAATAGGTGTCCAGCTATCCTGAAGACAGGAATCCTGGGAAGGGTAAAGGGGCTATCCTGGGCAGTCAGAAGAGGAGCCACTGCCCAGAGGCCTGGAACTGTGCCTGCATTTGGTCTGGAGTCCAAGTCCCTGGGCCTCCTCTGCTGGAATCCTAGAAAGTTCTTTAAGCTGGGAACAGAAATACCCAGACCATATGCCACAGGTGCACCACATACTCGTTTCTTGCCCTTGGTAAATCTGATCTTTAGTTCTCCACCCCCATCCCTACCTGAGCCTGAGTGAGAAAGGCAGGCTCCTGCCCTTCTTCAGAACCATTGCTCCCTGAGGAAGCTGCAAAGCCATGCTGACCTACAAGCCACCAAATAAACTTCCTTACCCCTCGTGGCCATCTGCACACTGAATCCCCTCCCTTTCCTGCTCTTAAGCAACTGGTTAGATAACCTTAAGTGACCAAACAGGTTTCCCTCACTAGATCTTAAATCAGACTCCTCAGCAGCTCAGGCTTCCAAAACTGAACATCTCTCTGGGCCCAAGAGGAGTGTGGTTTCAGAGGTGAGTGCAGAGAAGCAACACGCAGGAGTAGAGGCAGAAGAGGCACACAATACACACACTGGCATAGCACACACACAAATGGCTAGGACTCTGCTTTGGCTCAGGGTCATTTTGGGGGCAGCAGAAGTGGTTAAGTTCCCACATAGCTCAGGACACCACTGGGAGGATTTTGCACCTGTTGGAGACAGCTGTGTGCAAAATCTAAATATTCCCAATGTGCTATCTTTAGTGCTGTGCTCAGGCTCAGCCAAGATCCTCCTTAGGGTCTTGTGGCCCTCTCAAATCCAGAGCTTACCACCCCTGCAGCTGGGCTAAGTCCAACAGAGGCCCTTTACTCTCAGCTACCATTCCCACACCTGAACAAACTCCCACCTCTGGTAATTCCCCCTCAAGGTCTGAGGTAGCATCTGGGAGGGAGCTTCTGTGACTGAGTCTTGAGGGACAGGACAGGACCTCTGACAATGCACTGTAGAAGATGTCACAGTTTAGAAATGTACCAGGGTAGGAGTTGCCGAGCTATCAGATGCACACTCCATACCCACTTGTGCCATCTGTGGCTGCTGAGGTCCCGCTTCCTGTTGCCCCTATCTGGCTTAGGCCTCCAAAGTATGGGACTGTGGGGATCTCATCTGCTCACTTCATTCTACTTGGACTTCCTCATCCCATACAGCCTGCAGGCCCACTCCTGTATCTCCTGCCCTTACTCTCACCACATTCATTTTCTGGCATCAAGGACTGAGTACAAGCCATATTGCTTCCCTAAACTTTGCCTGTCAGATGAGGGAGTAAGGGGAAGCCTGAGGGCCATGCCAAGAATGACTCCATTACAGTCAGTCTAACAATCTCCAAGACTCTTCCAACTCAGAAATGTTATTGCCCACCACCCAGTTATGGAGCTGCCAGTAGTGGCATCAGAATGGGTCCTGGGTTTGCCAATTAATCAGGAAGTAAAAGTAGTGGTGTGAAAGTGCCTGATACACACAAAGCAAAACATAAACTCTTGGGCCAGAGCCATTCACAGCACCTCTGCTGGTCTTGAAAAGGTATTGCTATCCTCAGCACCTAATAGTTTCTGCTGCACTGGCAGAGCTCAGTTACCTAGGATGACTCAGACCCTCAGGCTTTGGCCAATGATGTGGCACAAGGTCCTGGAGATGTAGAATCCTTGGCAGAATAAAACCTCCTGGTGCCTGGGCTAAGAGAAGGGGTATCTGGATTACCACCAGGCTACTTAGGCTCACTCTGCAGTTGTCCAGTTCTTTGGGATGGCAGTCCTCAGCCTGTCCTTGCAGGAAGTGGAAACCAAAGTCTGAGCTATTCTAGGGGGCCAGGCAGCATCTTAAGACAAAGCAGGAGCTGGATCCTGGGCAGGAAAGACTCAGGCATGGTGAGCAGGCAGCCAGGGAGGTGTTGAACAGGGGCATCCAAGTGTGTGTATGCATGCACTTACACATGGGACTCTTTGTGTGTATGCTCATGTGAACATACACAATGGTATGGGTGCAGAGATAAATGCCCCAGTTTCCATGGTGACAAACTGGAAAGAATGAGGGAGGGTCTGGGCCTTCAGAAAACTGAATGCCAGGCATGAGTTCATCTTTGGAATCCATTTACCCTGGATCCCTCTAGGATTGGACATGGGCTGCTTGAACCCTTCAGTTCCACAGCCCCCATCACATGAGCTAAGTCTCCCAAATCATGGGATGTCCCTGAGTGTTCCCCCAGTTGCCTCAAGGCCCTCATCCTTGGCAGTTCTGCTTCTCAAGCCAGCAGGAAGACCAAGAAGGAAAATGGCACCACATACTCAGAGAGCACCCTCCAATGTCTTCTCCAATTGTGAGCAGACCCAAATCTGGAAGTTCTAGGAGGTGAGTCTGTCTTTGCTCCTTAGGAGCCCTTCACACAGTTGGTACAGGAGGACACGTGTGGCCTCAGAGTGCCTGTCCCTTTGATGGAGCAGAGCCAGGTGTGAAGGTAAGTGTAGGAGTTGGGCAAAAATGGTCCAGCAGCAGCAGAGCAACAAGCCTGGCATTGACTCCTAGGCCTTCATGCTCATGGACAAGAAGAGAGTCAGCTTCATTGACAAAGCGGACCTACAGGACATTCACACTTCCCCAAGTAGGTGTGATCTCTCCCTCAAGTATAGCAAGGACATTGCCTCTAAACACTGACACACACAGTCATATTTTGGGGTTGTTATGGCCACCTCTAAGTTTGTTTAGTTTCCCTTAGTTATTCTAAAGAACTTTGCTCTCAGGGTCTCAGGGTAGCTACTCAAGGCCCTGGTTTGTTCAGAGCTGGCAGAGGGTGTCCAGAGTTTTTAGAAAAACCTGGAATGGGTTTGAGGCAGGCACTGGGGAGGCAACCTAGTGAGTGACACATCCAGCCCTGTCCCTTCCCCATAACTCCACTCTACCCTTAGGCTCCCCTTGTGGGCTTGGAAGAGGATATGTATGGGTAGGCCTCTTCATCATCTCAGAACCAGATGCCATCTCGTCCCCCACCTTCTTCAAGCCACTTCAGTTAGCACTTAACCCTTCCTGTCTCAGTGGCCTACCATGAGACACTCCTGTAGTGGGGGGCAGGAGGCTTGTGGTCCTACCTTGGAAGCTGGGAAAGGCAGTTATATTTTACCTGGGATGGCGGTTCTCTAGTGCCCACCTTCCCCATTATTTGAGAACAGAAATCAGTACTCTCCTCCGCAGAAGATGGTGTCCTGAGATTTGAAGTGAACTGGTTGACTCCAGCCTATATTCCCCACACTTGAGCCAAAGGGCTCCATCTTTTTTTGTTTGTTTGTTTTTTGTTTTTTGAGACAGGGTTTCTCTGTGTAGCTTTGTGCCTTTCCTGGATCTCACTCTGTAGACCAGGCTGGCCTTGAACTCACAGAGATCCGCCTGCCTCTGACTCCTGAGTGCTGGGATTAAAGGTGTGCACCACCACCGCCCGGCCAAAGGGCTCCATCTTATGTCTCCTCTGTCCTTTGTCTACATGTGCTCAGCACTCTTCTGGAGTCACCCTGTGAATGGCAGATGTAGGCTGTCCTGTGGGGTTACCTGCCAGTATAAAGGACAGAGGGGGTTGAGAATGACAGTGCGGCCCCAGTCAACACCTCATCCCTGTCCATGCTTACAACAGACAAAACTAATGTCGAGGACAAGGTGAATGCCATACTCAAGGAATCCTCAGGGTTCCATCAACTTCATCATGTTCCTGAACATATTTAGTTTGTTGTTGTTGTTTGGGTTCTTGTTTGTTTTCAAGA